CCCGGGTCTCTCAGGACCGCAGGCCAACGCTCTAACCGCTGAACCAAACCGGCCAGGGCTCTCTTGCTGCTTTTAAGATTCTCTCTTTGTCTTGAACCTTTTGCATTTTGATGATGATGTGTCTTGGTGTGGGCCTCTTGGGGTTCATCTTGTTTGGGACTCTCTGTGCTTCCTGGACTTGTACGTCTGTTTCCTTCACCAAGTTAGGAAAGTTTTCTGCCATTATTGTTTCAAACAGGTTTTCGATTTCTTGTTCTCTCTCTTCTCCTTCCGGCACCCCAAAGATGCGAATGTTGGCACGCTTGAAGTTGTCCCAGAGGCTCCTTACACTATCCTCATTTTTTTGGATTCTTTTTTCTTTTTTGCTGTTCTGATTGGGGATTTTTTGCTTCCTTATATTCCAAATCGATGGTTTGCTTCTTAGATTTACATACTCTACTATTGAAGCTGTGTAAATTATTCTTTATTTCAGTTAATGCCTCCTTCAATTCTAACTGTGTATCCATGATTTCTAACTGGTCCTTTTTTATGCTCTTGAGGCCCTCCCTAAGTTCACTGAGGTTCTCACTAAGTTCATTGAGCATCCTTATAAGCAGTATTTTGAACTCAGTATCTGTTAGGTTGCTTATCTCCCTTTCGCTTAGTTCTTTTATTGGGATTTTGTTCTGTTCTTTCATTTGGGACCTGTTTCTTTGTCTCCTCATTTTGGCTGCCTCCCTGTGTTTGTTTCTGTGTATTACTTAATGAGAGGTATGGGGCTCGCTGAGACCCGATGCTGCTCGTTTGAAAGAATTTAGGAAAAACCTGAAGCAGGATCCAAGACCGGCCAATCCTATGGTTAAGCAAGTGGCAACAGCTTGGGTGGGCTTGAAAGTTGTGTAGGGCGGGGCGGGGCGGGGCCTCAGGGAGTCAGCAGGGCGGGGCTACCAGTGTGAGCCAGGTTGCTGGAGTCCCAGATATGGCTGCTGTCTGCCGCCCCCAGGAAGGGCTCACCAAAGGAACAAAGGCCTCTTACAGCACGTTTGTCCCCGAGGAAGCCCCCTCTCCAGCCCTCGCTCCAGTGCCAAACAGCTCAGTTCTTCCCTGTATGCCGCTGCCGCCCCTCCTACCAGTCTGGATGTAGCTGCTTTTTTTTTTAAATTCCGTAGTTGTAGGACTTCCATTCAGCTTGATTTCAGGCGGTTTTGAATGATGGTTGTTCTGTAGTTTAGTTGTAACTTTGATGTGGTTGTGGGAGGACGCGATACCGCGTTTACCTACACCGCCATCTTGACCGGAAGTCCCAATGTGATTTTCAAAAAGAAATAAAACAGAAAATTATCAGATTTGTATGGAACCACAAAAGACCCCCCAATACCCAAAGCAATCCTGTGAAAAAAAGAACAAAACCAGAGGTATCACACTAACCTGACTTCAAATTATACTACAGAGCTACAGTAATCAAAACAGCATGGTATTGGCAGAAAAAGAGATGCACAGACCAATGGAACAGAACGGGAATGCCAAAATAAAACCACATATATATGGGCAAAGTAGTTTTTGACAAAGGAGCCAAAAACACACAATGGAGAAAAGAAAGCTTCTTCAATAAATGGTGCTGGGAAAACTGGAAAGCCACATGCAAAAGAATGAAAATAGATTACAGTTTGTTCCATGTACAAAAATTAATTCGAAATGGATCAAAGACCTAAACATGAAAACTGAAACAACGCATTACACAGAAGAAAACATAGATACTAAAGTTATGGACCTTGGTCTTAGAGAAGACTTTAAAAATTTAACCATAAAGGCAAGGGAAGTAAAGGCAAAAATAAATGAACTGTACTATATCAAACTAAAAAGCTTCTGCACAGCAAAATAAAAATGTCAACAAAACAAAAAGGCAACCAACCAAATGGGAGACATTTGCAAACAGCTCTGACAAGGGGTTAATATCCAAAATATATAAAGAACTCACACAACTCAACACCAAACAAACAATCCAATTAAAAAAAAGGTAGAGGACCTGAACAGACACTTCTCCCAAGAAGATACACAAGTGGCCAATAGATATATGAAAAGATACTCAACTCACTAGCAATCAGGAAACTGCAAATAAAAGCTAAAATGAGATACCACCTCACATCTGTTAGAATGGCTATTATCAACAAGACAAGTCATAACAAGTGTTGGAGAAGTTGTGGAGAAAAGAGAACCCTCAAGTCACTGCTGGTGGGAATGTACACTGGTACATTCACTATGGGATACAGTATGGAGGTTCCTCAAAAACATAAAAATAGCATTACTGTATGACCCAGCAACTCCTTTTCTGGGTATGTACCTGAAAAATTTGAGAACATTTATTTGTAAAGATATATCCACCCCTATGTTCATTGTAGCATTATTCACGGTGGCCCAGACATGCAAACAACCAAAGTGTCCTCTGATAGATGACTGGATAAAGATGTGGTACATATATACAATGGAATACTACTCAGCCATAAAAAAGATTAAATACTGCCGTTTGCGACAACATGGGTGGGCCTTGAATATCATGGTAAGAAAATAAGTCAGTCAGAAAAAGCTAAAAAGCATATGATTTCACTCATATATGGGTTATAAAAGGGAAACTCACAGACGCAAAAAACAGGTTACCAGAGGGTGGGGGAGGTAGTGAAGGGGGCCAAATATATGGTGACAAAAGATGATCTGACTTTGGGTGGTGGGCACACAATGCAATATACAGATCATGTATCATAGAAATGTACACCTGAAATCTACGTAATCTTATTAACCAATGTCACCCCAATAAATTTAATAAAAATAAAATGTATTTCAGCATATCCCAGACGCAGACAGGGTATAAATATGAGTATTTTAAACATAAAACAGAATTGATTAAGCATATAAACATAAACAGAATAAACTAGTTATTCACTGGAAAAATACAATAAAATCTACCATTCATTGTCTAATTCATATTTATAACTACTATTTTATCAGCTATTCACAATAAGAACCATCTAGTGTTTTTTTTTTGCCCTGCTATAGGCAAAATCCTAGCTTGTTCCCTTCTGATTTCTACCATGAACGTTTATACTTTAAAATGAAAAGAAAAGTCCTGTGAGTGTGGCTCAGTGGATTGATTGAGCATCTTCCCACAGACTGAGCGGTCTGGGTTCCATTCCCAGTCAGGGCACATGCTGGATACCTGGTAGGGGCCACGCAGGAGACAGTCCAACAGATGTTTCTCTCTCACATCGATGTTTCCCTCTCTAAAAAAAATCAATAAAAACGTTTAAAAAATAAGAAAATTAAAAGAAATGAGGATTATATAAATTATTTTCCCCCTAAAATACCTAAACCACAGATTTACTATTATGAAAGATAAGCAATTACTAACCCTGGATCATCTGTTCCATGAACATAATTTAAAACAAACCAGGTAAAAAGAAATCCACTTTATAAAGTTACATTTGGGAACACTCAACAATACTCCCTCAATTTTTATTTCCCATTAAGGCCATCCTTAGTCATCACAGAGCTCCACAATCATAATAGCTCTTCACTGTTAACACTTCTAGAACATCAGGTTATATTTCTGTCTATCTCACAATTTATTCAAAACTGAACAGCATGCAACACATTTCTTAATAAAATTCTAAAAATAAAACACTCTCGGTTTAACCAATACAGTCCCTGAATATCCTTATTATAGTCAAAATGACTTTGGTCTTTATCCCATAAAAATACGGAAATTGAGTTGCATCCTTTAAAAACTCCACTTGCTGCCCTGCCGGTGTGGGTCAGTGGTTGAGAATCTTCCCATGCACCAAGAGGTGGCAGGTTGGATTCCCCATCTGCGGAGTTGTGGGCCTGGTCCCCAGTGGGGGGCATGCAGGAGGTGGCCAATCGATGTTCTCTCTCGTGCATGTTTCTATATCCCCCTCTCCCTTCCTCTCTCTGAAGCCAGTGAAAAGATAAAAATAAATAAAAACTCCACTTGCTGCTGGGAGATACAGTCTTCATCTACCTGTGTATAGTCACAAATTTGCCCTTATCCAGAATATATTTTCTATACATTAGTCTGGTTCTAGCAATAAGTACCTTCCACAGCTGGTTCCCCTTTGCTGACTTCTCAAAGAACCTTTTGATCTGACCTGACTACCTCTCCTCAAACCTACCCCTGGCCTTACCTGCAGCTCCCAGATGCGCTAGGGGAACTGCAGGTATGGTAGGGAACCTTCTACCCATCTTGCACATCCAACAAAACACCTCCACGACTCAGTTACTATAAGCCTCACTCCCTCTTGGAAGCCTTTCCAGACCTCGCTCTGGTCCTTCGGATCAACCCAGGCATGGGTTGTTAGGACTGTGTCCCCAGAGACCAAACTCCGAGAGCGGGGATAGAATCTCAATCATCTTCCATCTGCTGTTCATAACATATGGTCTGGACAAGAGGTGACCCTCTAAAAAATGCCTGCTGTTTGAACACCAGAGCGAAAACAGCGCTTTGCAAGGACAAGGGCCGAGGTAACACCGGAATCACGTCTTCTTTCAGCTGTCCAGGTAAACCCCTCGTCTTTGAGGGACATCGAGTTCTGCGGCCCCAGAAAGGAAACAACTTCTCTCCACTTCGTGGGCCTGGGACGGGTGCAAGTGTGCTGGGCCCGGGTGACATGGGTCTGGCTACCGGGGTCTTGGGGCCGGGAAACTTTTTCAAAACATGACCGACAGCGGGGAGAGAAAAACGTCCTCGGGTCTAAAGAAGACGGAAACAGACGGAAAAGGAAGAATGGAAGAGAGGAAGAGTTCGAGGCCCGGTGACCCGAGGTAAATAAAGGAAGGTGGCAGCGGGGCGCAAAGGGGAATAGGGGGTCGCCGGGCCCCAGGGTCCGCGGGCGCAGGCGGCTCGGGCCACCAGCCCGAGACCTCCCGCCCCACGGCGGCGCGGCCGAAAGCCACGGTACAAATCACCCCGGAGAGACGCTCCCGTTCCGGCTCCCGTCCAGGCCACTTACCCGGCCCGCCAGGCCGACTCTCCCCATGGGCCGCGGCGGCGCACCGAGACCGAGACGCCGCGGAGAGGGAAGGCTGGCCGCCCTCGGCCTAAGCCCTTGACGGCACGATCCGCCGCCGGCACCAACCCCTACGCGGAGTCCGCAGTGCGCGCGCCGGCGCGGGGTCAGGGGAACGTGCGGCAGCGAGAGAGACTCCCCTGCGCCGCAGTCGTGTAGCCCCAGCGCCCCTTGCGGGCGGGAGGACCGCACTGCACCTCCCCTCCGCCGACGTCCTTCTCTTCCGCCAAGAGGTGTCGCAGTGGCGCAAGTTTGTGAAATTTCAGGCTCTGAGAAGAACTTGGCAGTGATCTCAGGTGGTGAGAATAAATGGTCCAAGGCTGCAAAAATCGCCTTTGGGAGCCAATTGTGTTCTAACAGGCGAGAAGGGGAGAATCCCTCCGAGCCCTTTGTTCTCATTCATTCAAAACCTTTCCATCTATCTATATTGCACACTGCTGAACATTAATCACCATAGGCGAGTAAAATGGGAAACTGATGCAAAAGAAATGGCAATAAGCTTTGAATGAACTGTACCACTAAGGAAACAATAGATACGGAGTTTAAGGTTACAGAAATGTTATAAAACCTCACAATTCAAAAACGGCTTAACAAAAGTGGGGAGAGCCCTGGCCGGTTTGGCTCAGCGGTTGGAGGGTCCGCCTGCGGTCCGGAGAGACCCAGGTTCGGTTCCCGCTAAGGGCACGTAGTTCGGTTGCAGTTTGTCCCCGGCCCTGGTTGGTCGTGCGGGTGGCAGCCACTCAATGTGTCCCTTCACGTCGATGTTTCTCTCTCTCTCTGTTCTCTCTCTGTCTGAACAAAAAATGGGAAAATGTCCTCGGGTGAGGATTAAAAAAAAAAGAGAGAGAGAGAATGTTGGTTTTAGTCCAATGTAAAGGTCTGCCCCAGCACAAAGATTCAAGGAACAAGACATGCTAGACAGTTCCTGTAGAATTGCGGCTCTGACTCCATTTTGAAAAGGCTCAATTTATGTTATTTTTCACAATGGAGTACTATTCAGCCATGAGAAAGAAGGAAATCCTGCCATCTACAGCAATATGGATGGATCTTGAGAGCATTATACTAAGTGAAATAAGTCAGAGAAAGACAAATACTATGTGATCTCACTTATATGTGAAATCTAAAAAAAAAGCTAAACTCTTAGAAACAAAGAGTAGAATTAGTGGTTACCAGGGATTAGGGAGTAAAGGGAAATGGGGAGATGTTGGTCAAAGGGTCACACTTCCAGTTATAAGATGAATAAGTTCTAAGGATTCTAATGTAGAGCATAGTGATTATAGTTAATAATACTGTATTTCATATACTTGAAAGTTGCTAAGTGAGTAGAGTACAGCTTAAATGGTCTCACCACAAAAAAATGGGAATTATGTGAGGTGATAGAGGTGTTAGTTAATGTCATGGTAGTAATCATTTTGCAATACATAAGTGTTTTAAATGAACACATACACTTTAAGCTCACACAATGTTATGTGTCAATTATGTCTCAATAAAGTTGGGGGAGGTGGCGCGGAAAGACAAGTCAATTCGAAGGGTTTCAGCTGGCCAAAGAGTGGACAATTTGACCATTAAAAAGAATAATGAATACAGTGGATGCAAGCAAGCACATTAAGTATGTTAAAATCCATGGATTCCGAGTCCTCCGCAGCATTCTGGCACCCTGATGGTGCACTCGCCGGATCGCTCCGAGCTCCCCGACCCGGGCATTTCCCCTCCCTTCCACTGCTGGTGGGCGCCTCTAAAAAATAAGAAAAAAAAAAATCTATGAACTCAGAATTCATGATATTAAACAAATATATATATAAAACACAAACACAAAAACCTCAGTTCATTGGTTACCATGTGAGTTTTATTTACTAGGGCACTGCAGTAGGCTGAATAAGTAGCCCCTGAAGATATCAGGTCCTAATCCCTGGAATTTATAAATGTTACCTCATTTGGCAAAAGGGTTTTTGCAGATGTCATTAAATAAACAACCTTGAGATAGGCAGATTTACCTGGATTATCTGGTTAGGCCCAAAGTACAATCACAAATGTCCATACAGGACAGAGGCAGAGGGAGATTTGACTGCACTACATACACAGAGGAGATGGCTAAAATAAAATTTTAAAAAAAAAAGAAGAAGAGCTACAAATATAATAAATGTGGTAGATCTACTATATCAAACTCTGCACAGAGATTACTTACATCTTCTCAAGTGTCCTTAGAACATACAACTATTGGCCATATTTTAGGCCTCAGAGAAAATCTTAATATATTCCAATAAGTAGAACCATATGGATAGCATCTGATCACAATTAAAAAAAAACAAAAAAAACAAAACACACACACACACAGAAATTGATGACAACTGTGGCTCAGTTGGGAATCATCCTGTACACTGAGGGGTTGCTGGTGCTATTCCCAACTGGGGCACATGCCTGGGCTTCTGCTCGATCCCAGTTGCGGGCATGCAGGGGAGGGGGCAAATGATGTTCTGATCTCGAATTGATGTTTCTCTCTCTCTTCCTCTCCCTTCCTCTTTCTCTTTAAAAAAAATTTTTTTTTAAATTAATAAACATATTAAAAATTTTTTAATTAAAAATAAAATAAAAAATATAGAATTAAAACAATAAATCCAGTAACTAATTCTTTGAAAATAAATAGGTTAGCTGTTAACTAAGAAAAAGGGGAGAAAGCACAATATACAAAATATGGAATAAGAAGAATTAACTCCAGATGCAAAGGAAAGAACAATTATCTTAGGAGATGACTTTTTTCTCAGTTTTAGCAAATAAATTAGGAAATCTGGATGAAAGAAATACTTTTTAGGACAATATGGACTTCGAATTATACAATTTAAACAGACCAACTGTCACAGGAGAAGCAGGGAAGAAGAGCAAGGAGCTACTCTCTAATGTTTCCACAGGGGAATTTACCAGGCCTTGAGGGCCAATGAATTCTGAGGTACTGTTTCAGAGCCTAAAAAACAAAAGCAAAAGCTTCTAATTCCTTGTATGTAGCCAGCACAGTACTGATACCCAACAAATATAGCTCAAAGAAAACAGTGGACCATTCTCACTTATGACTCTTGATCCAAAAATCCTAAATAAAATATTAGTGCTGCATTAGAACATAAATCCTCAGTCCTAGAATAAAGTTATTCCTAGAGCTTTGGGGATCAGCACCCCCACCCCCCACCACCATGTGACGGGGAACATTCTGGCAGTAAGACAGCATGCTTAGGACTGGAGTGCTCAGGCTAAGCTCTCAGGAAGATTTAAAATGTTATTAATAGTCTTTGCCGGAGTGGCTCAGTTGGCTGGAGCATTGTCCCATACACTGGAAGATTGCAGGTTTGTTCCCGGTCAGGGCACATACCTAAGTTATGGGGACAATCCCCAGTTGGGCACAGGAGGTAACCCGATGTTTCTCTTTGTCTCTCCCTCCCTCTCTAAAGTCAATTAAAAAGTAAAATAATTTTTTCTTAAATGTGAGAGGGGAAGGAAAGTTGAACACTGACAAAATAAAATGAATATACCAAGTGCCTCCAATAGTTTGGGTGGGTGGGCAAAAGCCCTGAAGCTGAGGCCAGGAGCCTTGGGGACACCCCAAGTGGAACCTGCTGTCTACCAAGCCTCCACGTCTCCAGTTTGTAGGCTGTTTACTACCGCTGCCCTCCTTCTGCTTAGAGTTTCGTGCATTTCCAAACCATTGTCACACATTGACAGACAACTTTTTGAATTACAAACCATAGATGCAGTCACCTTCATTGTTTGGGAATTTCCTAGTTTAATTCTCAGGAGAAAATATTTTTCCCTCTCGTTTCTGAGTATATTAGAAACATCATTCTTACTTCCACTTCCTGCCCAAGGTAACTAATATTACTCTTAGTTTACAAACTGAGAATCCAAGGCTTATTGAGATGGAGGACAGTAATCCAGGCCATGCAATTAAAAGGAAGGATATTCAAATTGTGGAGATTCAGAAGAGGGACAAGACAAAAGGCACAGGGGGCCAGTCCAGGCTGGAGAGCAAACATGCCTAGTGACACCTAGTGACACAAGTTGTACGATTTTTCTCCAGCAGAGCTCAGCAGCCTGGAGGGAGGAGGGCAGATGATAGAAATTAGCATGGCAGATGTTCTAGGAAGAAAGGAGATGAAGGAGGTGCTTAGGCTGGCAGGAAGTGGCGAGAATGAACCGCCACAGCACGCAGGACAGAAGAGACTGGAGGAGGACCAGGGGGAGTGAAAAACAAGTGGGTGTGCTAGAAGGAAAGCATTTTAGTTAAGATGACAGTTTCGTCAACATTATAATTTGATCAAAAATGATTATTCCCTGGGACTCTGTGTGTAGTGATACTTTTCACATACCATGAAGGATGATTTTTGTTCCCTTTTATATAACTCGAAGCAATTTTGTCCATTTTTCAGAAAAATTTTTGGTCCTCCCCCTCCATTTTTTCTTCCTAAGTCATTCTCTACAGTCATTCCTGTTTTGTAAGTTTATAAAAGCAAAAATTCAGAAACAAACTAAGTAGTCAATAATAAAGACTGAAATTACATTATTTTGGGTGACAGTTTATATGAAAGGAACTCATTTTGTTTAAAATTATATAACAATATGCAGAAAAAGTATGCAAGGAATATTTGCCAATTTGCTTTTCTTCTGGTAGGTGGGATTACAGCAGTTCTGCATTTATATGTTTTGTTTATTTGTACTTTTCCCCAGTAGAATGTATGTAGAGTTTTCTGAAATTTTTAACAAAGTTTTAAATCTCCTTGTATCAATCGACGTCTGTTCTGCTTGTTTGACAAGATCTACCATAAATTTTTAATTGTTTTGATTGGTTGAAAGCGAATCCTTTCAATAGAAAATTTATATTAAAAAATAATTTTTCTGTATTTTTTTTACTTTAATGTGGATCTATTTTATTATAATTTTTTTTTTTGATCACTTTCCAGCAGTGACGTTCTCACTTTTCAAGCAGGGAGACTAAGACCTTGATCTGAGAGAGATGACTCCGTGGGGGTCTGTTATCTTATCCATCATGCAGTTTGGTGCCATCCCCAGAGTGTGTGGGCA